TCCACGATATCGTTATCAGCAACTATTACCTAATTTGCTTCCTCTCTGTCCTCTATAAACTCTTCACTCGATTGATCCCAATCAAGATTAACAGAACAATGGACGAAGGACAACCATCTCATTAAGCAGGATTTCCATAAAGATTTAAAACAATGCATTGGATCACATTTACAGGATAACGAGACCCATCGAAGTATCGCAAGAGCACAAGAGAGAGCTCAATCTCACTTTCATCGATTTAAGGAGAGCTTTTGAAGCAGCTGAGCAGTCGTGGAAGTCTTTGAATGCCAAGACGATTCTACTCAGTCTACATTCTTGGTGATCTACATAAGAATTTCACAACCAAGAGAATGTTGGAATGGGACAACATGGAAATGAAAATCGATGGTTGATAATTAGATCACATTAGCTTTGCTGATGACATAACACCAAACATTAGCCAAATAGAGCGAATGCTTGCCCACTTTGATAAAATCTGTGTAAACACTGGTCTTCGACTAAACGTCACAAAAATGATGTTCATAAGGGACGGGTTTGTTACGTTCTCCTTACTCATGATTAACGGAATGAATACCTCCGAATGCTCCAGTTACGTCTACCTAGGTCGGGAAATCAAAGTGCTGAACGACTCAGCTCCAGAATTGAGCAGGAGGAAGCGAGTGACTTGTGAAGCCTTGAAGAGCATAGAGAATATAGTGAGGAAAACAAAGAACATCCCACTCCGTGCCCATCTTTTCAACTCCCCGATGCTTAACGTGCGCGTCAGAAACTTGGTCACTGTGTTAGCAGCAAGAAATATTACTCAGCGGTATAGAATGCGCAGTCGATAGAATGACGCTAGTAGTACTCTGGATCACGTGAGAGAAGGGATTCGAAGCTCTGACATACGTCAACGGTCAAAAATCAAAGGCGCCGTTCCAAATACAAAACTGTCGAATGTAAGATGGGTGGGACACGTAATGCGTATGAACAACAACCGATGGAGAAAAGCCGTTAGCCAATGGATCCCTGGAATGTCAAACATACATCAGGAAGACTACCGACATAGTAAACAGAAATATAACCTTCAATAATGCTGAGATATTTGCAAAAGTCCAGACCGCAGGTGTCTGCGGTGGGGAACGAACGCGCTATTTTCCGGATCAATTCCGCTGACGAGTGATTGCTGATGGCAAAAGATCGATAGAACTAGCTCAGAGAGAGGCGAAACGAAAGACTCGCATGGTGTGGTGGTGAACGCGTAGTCCCCAGAATGGACAATAGCGCGTTCCCTACCATAGACACCTGCGGTCCGGAGTTTTGCAAATATCTCAGCATCATTGAAGGTTATATTTCGCAATATACCCTGCCGTTGAAAACAGCAGTAAATAATAATTTATAAATAGTAGATAGAGTTGCTCACGAAAACTATAGGAAACATGTGATGCTCAATGAGTCCCAAGATCGAAGAAAACCCACTGAGCTACTCTCGCAATACTTACAAGTAGCATTCCGGTCGGCCATTTTTAATCGTTTTCCAATCACCTCCATAAGTTCAGCTTATTGAAGGTTTTAGATGAATCGGCATGCAGATGCACGAATTCTCACGCACACAAGAATGATTATGTGCGTATATGTGAAGGGTGGGAATGTATGAGGTATCCGACACAGCAAAGCCTATCAGCAGAATACATCGTGTTCCAAGGAAATAGACGATCAGCTCAAGTACTACTTTACATCCTATCCACCACATGGAGCGAGTGTGGCGCTATGGTCGGAGACGCCCTGTAACACACATCTGGAATCGATCCTTGCTCCCATGGCCCATCAAGTCTTCCATCCCTCCTGGGTCGGAAAATTGCTACAAAACTTGTCTGGGAGGATAGCAGCACTGATTCAATACTAGGCCACCGCGAGTCATTGTAAAGGCCATATATGCATTAAGGAACCTCCAAACGATGCTTAATGAAGTCGAATGCATGGCGCATCCTTCAGGGATTCATCAACGTCGAGGGATTTATCCCAGCTTTTTATCCTTTATCCACCACATTACGACATACCACATAGCCTCTGGAATTACCGACTAATGAGCTCAATGAAGGCCCGTTGTTGAAATGAGAGATAGGTCATCTCATTTCCGTCCGTTTCTTCAACTTCTTAGGTTATAGATATCCCATGATCGACAAGTACATTTCATTCTACCCAATTTGTCTTTTAACTTCTACACCTTGAGAAAATAGCGTAAAAATGGATATAGAAGATAGATCTACCAAACCACACATACGTCACGTTACCCAAACAAAAAAGCAGTTATAAGCGGCCAATGTATTTGTCTTATAAACCGACTTCCATTTAACCTCGTCATGAACGACCACAGCCTTGCTTGATTGATTTTTCTACTTTTTCTTGTTACACAACTCAGCTTCACATCGACGGTGCCGATCTCATCACTTCTTTCATTCTATTCGTTTCTACGGATCCATCGTCCACCAGGGTTTTCCAAGTTTTCACGTGCAGCTCTTGCTTGAGGATTGTTCTTCCTTAAGAACGCTAATGAATGCTGGTCGCGTCCATTCTCGAGTCCTGTACTACTGGAGCGTTCTTTCGTGGATTCGTGGGAATGAGATCGGCCAAGACATGCCTGGTTCCAATTTCCTCAGATCGGAGGGATGAGAAGCTTAGTGAGCATGAAACAGGGTCGAACCAACACCGTTCTCGTGATGAACGGCATAACTATCATTGCGCTACTCCCTCCTCTGTTCGATTGATTAACTAATATGAAGTTATATAAGCTAACCGATCAAGCAAATCAATGGCTTCTTAAAGGGTATAACGTATGGTTGTTTAAGAAATTACGAAATACTGCGAACATAGAGTTCTTCCTTGTGAAAATAAGGCGAAAGAATATGACATTTAAGTGAATAACTATAGCAATCGTTATTCAAACATAGAAATCTTGGCACATAATCACGCTTAACCTCGAAAGACCAGGAATGGCTAAGCGGTGATTTGTAGCACTGGTTTATTCCAAGCCAAGCCTCCAAATGGTAACAACAAATACGTTCTCAGCTGCTATAAGAATAAACAGTCAATGTACACAATAGTTCAACAGTCTGAAGCACTTCTCACCACGATGAAGCATCAAACCGTCAGGTGAAGTTACCCTACAACATGCCACGAAAACTGATCTCAGCTTGTCTTTGAGGGGCCGGGGATATCTCAGCACAGAACTCTCTTTCAATACGCGAGGTCGATGTTCATAAGGATACTGGATCTATCGCGCTTTCCTATCAGCCTCATGGAAGGAACTTAAGGGAACGCTTACAATAGCTCCGTACAAGCACTAGTTCACCGATTCTGAAAGCCAAGGACAGTTGAAGATGGGAAAATCGATAAATCAATGGTCTAATGTGAATAAATCGACACTCATTAATGCTATTAAGGCTTCGCAAATTCTAAATGAAAAACAAACTGGAGTAAGCCGATGGCGCAAGAAGAAACCTGGATGTGACTTAAAGGGTAGGGAGGAGTCGTGACAGGACCCACGATTCTGCCGGCTCGCCCTCTGGTTCACTCGTGATGTTCCATCGATACGTCCGAATCTTCTTGGGTTTACGCTTGTTTCATCGCACCGCTAGAGTTTCTCTTGAAGGGGTGCTAATACGGGTGATTATCCAAGGCTACTAGTCATAGTTCGTCTGTTGCTTCGTCCTACTGCAGTAGGATGGCGGAGGAATACGACGACGATTTCCAGTACAACACGGATTCCGGTAGTGAGTTGGACGATGAGGTGAGCTTTCCGAATTTATGATCATCGTTTTGTACACTTTGTTAATGGGACACTAACGATTAGGTTCTACAGGATTTAATTAGCAAGGTATAAGGGTTATTTTGCACCGCTCTATAGCCACTAAACCCCATACTATCATGATTACTATCATAGTTACCAATTGCTGTTAGTGATACTGGCTGTGGTTGTTTTTGGGATGTATGCCTCCATTTGAATTCTCGTTTGTTCATGTCGGGTATAATGAAAACTGAAAGCTGTTGTTCGTCGAATGCAAGCGGACGTGATAAAGTTGGGTCTGACGAGTTCAGTTCTGTAGTCGACAGTTCTTATCAAAATGTAAGCTTCCTGCCGCTTCTTATTCATATAGAATTGTTTTCTTGTTGCTCAGGCTGTTAGCGATGATGATGGAATTGCTATGGAACAAGAGGATTCGAGTCGAGAAGTTCTGAAAGAGACTCCCAATCTCGATGCCAAGGTTCTTTAAAATTTGTCGTTATGATTTCACTTTGGTTTAGTTATTTTTTCGTTTGCTGAAAAAGGTATGCCATTTGGAGTCGCACTGGCGTCATTAATCACAATCCTTCCGCTATTTGTTCTATGCATTGTTATTTTGATGAAAGTCAATCTGTTAATGGTTTTATGGGGTGATAAATAGACTGAGGAGTTAAAAGGCCTTTTGTAAATGATTTTTTGTCATATAAAGCACTTTGGACTTCCTTCATAAGTGAATAAAATCGATTCCCATACAAATTACTATCTATTGATTTATTTATGCTAAGAGTAGTCACTGGGGGCACGCGTGGCGCGGTAGTCGAAGGCGCCCTGCAACAAACATCGGATCGATCCCAGCGTCCGTAGCTTACCAAGCCTTCCATCCCTCCGGGGTCGGCAAATTGTTAACAGACTTGTATGGGGGGATAACAACACTGGCTGGATACATCGGTAGGCCACCTTGAGTTATTGTATTGGCCAGATATACGTTTGAACACCTCTAACGATGCTTAATGAAGTCGAATGCATGGTGCATCCCTCAAGGATTGATCAACACTGAGAGCCCTATCCTTTATTTATCCTTTGTGTCAATATGTTATGCTGCTAATATCTACAGATCATGGAGGGGTGCAGCACATGGCGTACTCTTCGGATTTGAGTGATAATGATATAAAAATGATAGGATTCATCTTATGTCTTAAAGTAAGTACTATGAAGATTTGTTGTAGTTATCTAGGTTATGACACTGGATGATCTAGCTCGTGAGATGGCTGAGATTATCGACGAAGTGTCAGCCATTCTTAGAATTGGTCGTGGGCATTGCCGTATACTTCTTCACAAGTTTAACTGGAACAAAGAAAGTTTGTTAGAAAGGTTAGTTCCTTCTGCGCTAGAAAGTAGAATGGTTGTAGTGAGAGGAAATTAAGGTTTTTTAACTCACGATATCCACTCACATGAACAAAAATTATTGTTTAAGCTGATATGACATGTTGTTACGTCTCTAATAGTGTGGATCCTAGCCGTAGTTTTTAAAGAGAAAATTTTTCCAACGCATATCTGTTTGAAAATTTCTATGACGTCTACTGATTTATGCCCACCTATGATATGTTCATTTGGATGTCTTATAGGTATTATGAAAATCCGGATACAGATGCTTTTCTCCGAAAAGCACAGGTTCTTCCACGTAAACCTGCCCCACCTCCAACTTCTTCGGTTGGTGAATGCGATATTTGCTGCAACACGGCTCTTCTTGGTGGCTTGGATTGTCACCACTGGGCGTGCTCTTGCTGTTGGCAAATGTATCTTAACACAAAGGTATTAAGCCACAGCGAGATGTGAGCGTTTATTGTTGCACGATCTTCCTAGTTTATGATTCTGTCCTGTTCTAGATTATGAATGACGCAACTAGTGAAATTCAATGCATTTTCAATGGATGTCAATTGTTAATCCAAGACGAGAAGGTGTTTTCAATGCTTAAAATGTCATATGTTTTTATAGCGATATTCACCTTGTCTCTAGGTCATGCAATATATCCAAAGCGAAGCTGTTCGCAATGCGTACCAACGTCTAAAGATTAATAGCTTTGTGGAAGGAAACCGTCTGCTGAGGTGGTGTCCTGGTCTTGATTGTGGAAAAGCGCTCAAAGTTGAGGTCCTAGAGTTTTATTGTTTCTCATTTAACACGTTCGTTCAGAAAAAAATTGCTAATGTGGGTTCGTCGGTGTTAAAATTCATGGAATTTTAAGTTATCGGTGTACTAATTGCTCGTGTTAAATATAAATAGTAGTTTCAGTTTTATTATTTGATGGAGATTGCCCTGTATAAGCATGTCATCCTTTTTTTTTACGTTCTTATAAAGCTGTTTTTGTCATCGACCCTCGATGCTGCGCCGCTTTGCTGTTTTAAGGGCTTGTATATATCTGACCGTATTAGACTTAGTTGATAGTCTTATGAGGTTCCGGTGCTAATTTTCAATTTACTAGGTAGTATTCCTTCCTGTTCACGTAATGTAAGTGGGTAGGCATGTGTAGCACAGTGATTAGATGTGCCTTGCAATAAATACGTGCTCATTAGTTTGACGCTTGCCTCGGACTCACCATGCTTTCCATCCCTCCAGGGTCAGCAAATCGGTACTAGATTTACCTGGGAGGATAGCAACACTGAATTTATTCATAGGTAGGCCAACTCCATGTAGGCTAGATATGCCTTCGGTCATTTCTATGGATGCTTTATGAAGTCGAATACGTCAAACATTCTATCACAGCTTTATTCCTTTATTTCTACAACATAAATGGGCTTCTGTAGCTCAGTGCTTAGAGGTCCCTTGAAGTATATGCGGAGTCCCTTTATCGACCCTTTGCCTTTTATGAACCAGTGCCTAGACGAACTGTGCATTTTGTTGCCTTCGCAATAGTCAATGCAATTAAGTGCATAGTACATTCCAAGAGATTGGCGAGCGCCTAACGCTCTTTTTTATGATTTATTAGGAGATATAGCTAACTTCTTGAGTTTCATTCAGGTAGAAACCTGAAAAAGTGCATTTCTTAACCCGGTTTTCGCATCAATTTGTTGAAAATTGTGACCCATTTTCCAGTTGAGCATTGAGTGACTCGCGTGTACCAGCCACAGTTTAGTCTTCTTTTCTCTTTGGTGTTCAAGGAAATTGTATTGGATTCTGTTTTATCTTTAGAATCGCTCAGCATCGTGTTCTTCGGCGTTTTTCATGAAGTATAATGATCATCGGTTCGAGGGGTTTCGTTGGGAACTTTAAATCCTGGGCGCTAATCGCTAATGGTTCTTGACCACTGGTTGTCATTTGGACACTTTCCTTGCCTGAGCCATATGATTCTTAAAATATAACCGTGTTTAGCGGAACCTTTGATCTTGTATTGTTGATGTGGGACATCATATTTCCTCTTTCAGTTGTTTGATAGGGGATAATCTCAGCATCTCCTCGTCTGTTGCGCTGTCAGTAGCACTGAGCCATTTTTTTTCATCATTTTTACGTTGCTAATAGGTTCCTGGTGCGTCGTTAAGATGGCCCATTGTTTTGTTCTTGTTTGATGGTGTTCTTTGTGTCTTTCTCTATCTCTTAAAAACTCCCCAAACCACTTTCTCTATCTTGGTGAGCTCTGGAGCTAGATCGTTTATAATGTTCGACCGAGGCACAAATATAGCTGTAGCATTGGGTGATATTCATTGCATTGAGGGTGAATGCGCATGTGGAACAAAACCTCTCTACATTATTGTTTATGTTGTTGTGTAATGGTGATATTCTGATTGTGAACTTGTTGTTTTGTAGCTCCTGAAGAGTCTATATTGAGCAGCTGTGCACTAGTTACACAGAGCTTCCATGACCGCTTTCGTCTGAACTATCTCAAAAAACCTTTTCCACGTAGATGAAAGTTAGGCAAAGCAATTTTTGTACTTGCGGTACCCAGTTGCGTTCGTTACCATGTGGATATGGTCTGTCATAGTGCTTCCTTTGCTTCCATGTCCGTCATATGACCAGTGCACTATTAATTCATTCGAGGATGACTAGAGTGAACAATACGCGGGCAACAGAAAGCAAGCAGTTTTGGGCAGCAGTTGTTGATTTCGTTAAGGTTTCCCTCGTTGATCATTCATTGATTACAAGCCTTGCTTTCTGGGTGTTAAAAAGCCGAGCCAGCATTGCTATGGAAACTTGCGGAAGGTTCTTCAGATGTTCGTGTTCTGATTCTTCGTGGAGTGGATGTTGTTCCTTTTTCCACTGACGAGGTAGCTCGTCAGATTTCAAAATGGGGAGCCTTTGGGACAAGACAGTCATCCTCACTAGTTTCGTTTGGAGAAATGAGGATGTTGTGGCTCTTGAAGGAATGAGTGTGGAACTCGTGGATGATCTGCTTTGTTGTCTTTTCGGAAGCCGCAATTGTTCCGTTCGATCGTTGTACAGATTGAGTCATTGTTGCTGTTGTTATTTCTATAAGATCTTCTTTTATCACATTTATACATAGCCTTATTAGTTTGAACATGAGTTGTCGTTTACCTACAGCTTATGCGACTCTACGTTGGCGTGTTATTCAAGTGCTTGTGGACACAGATAGGTAAAGAAAAAGGATATCTTGCGCGAAGGAAGCGATGGTGAGAAACCATGTTAACTTTAGGTAGAACAGCGGCACCGGTTAGACAAAACCTTCAGTTTACTACTGTACCATCTATGTAATTATGTTGTTCTCCAATGGGGCACTCTTACTTTCAACATTTAGAGTAGGGCTTCAGGGTTTGTGTGCTATCATAGACTTGCTCATCATGATACACTCAGGCAGATGCCTATCATGATCGTTCTGTTCTAATTCCTGAGTCCCAATGTGACGTTCATCAGTCGGTGTTCACGGTTAGTGTTAGTGTTTAAATCTCCATTTCACTTTAAAGACTTTGTGGGCTTTGTAGAACTTCTCCATGTGCATAACGAACACTTCAACCTCTTCTTCGCCATAGCCTGATGTGAGTGCATGGACGACCAAGAGCATCAAAGCCGGTAATGATCTGCACCTCTTCAACCGTAAACGTAGGATCTGCTTTGTTAGTTGTCCGCAGAAGTCGATGTTCATGATTTTCATGGTCATACTCGTGTTGATGAGGACGGTAGTACCGCGGTGAAGGGCAATTTAACTTTTCAACAATAAACTAACTCCTTGTAGTGCGCATTCTTAATGAAGGCCGGTGCCATTCGTTTTAATAGAGTACCGAAGATGTAGAGTCCTTTACTGGTTTGCGCAACTGTTTGTAGAATTAGAATTCCCAAAAACTTGTGAAGTTTTAAAATTTTTAAATTTAACCAGGGCCAACAGTAGATTAGAGTATACTAATTTGTCCTTGTGGACGAAATCGCGTTTATTCCATTCCCGTTTATTTTATTGAATAATCGGCTTTATGTTCGGAATGCACCCCGTGCTGCAAAAAAACGTGGGAAAAGTCTGTTTCGTCGCCTCCAAGTTGTAAACGTGTCATCTTGATAGGACAAAAGAATTTGTATCCTCTAGCAAGAGATCCATGGTTTCTAACGGTTTTTACTGCAGTCAGTTGAGCTAAGATTCCCATTGTATGGATGGATGAATGACCGGTTTTCAAGAGTAGTGCAGGCACTGCTTGTCCTTCATTCGTGTCTTTCTGTTGTAATGATTGTCATCTGCGTGGAAAGTGATGACGTTCAAGATGCGTATTCTTTGACTCATGAATCATTCCTATCTGCGAACTTAGAGTTTTACGTGATGTCAAGTCTGTTAACAGAACGTGTAGGTGGCTATTCTGAAGAATGTATGGTTAAAGCTGTAACCAATCATTACTTTCGCACCTTACGCATTGAAATAAATGCACATCGTCTCGGATCATCGTTGTCGCGTTATACGAAATCCCACTAGTTCAGTCGCTTTGTTATTTCAGAGATGTGTGTTAACAAAAAAGTGGTGAAAAGGTTTTGTGTTGTCAAGGAAATTAACGCGTAATTTTCTTTGACTACTGCTTATTTTTCCATAGATAATCTAATCGAGCAGATAAGGACTTAATTTACTTATGAGAGAGGATTTGCTTCATCGCCGTAGTGATGTGAATCATTGACTAACGCCAGGGCAATAACTGAAAACATCCGCTGTACATGGTGAAACACCATCGCGTTTTACTGCGCGAAATCTTGCTTGTTAGATCTTTCGGTATGCGAAAGATGAGCTTTGAAGAAAAAAAACGAAGAATGTTATATGGCTTGTTAGAAATTCAGAAATCTTTTGATATAAGAAAGGTTGCATCTCGTTGGGAAGGGTTTATACATTCTGTTGGTTTGTATTCCAGCTGTTGAAGCTCACCATAAGCTGATAAGTGATCGTTTAGAGTTGCAATGCGCAATTTCTTAAGGGGATTGAGTCACTAATGACTTTGTCGTCAGTATGTTAAAGTTCATTTACTAAGTTACATGAGTCATGTGTAACTCATGTCATCCACAGAATTTTAACGTCTGCGTGGGAAATTCACCTGATAATGCTACCACTGCTGTTTTTTTCACCAGTTTTGCATTCTTTTGGAAAACGTGCAAAACTTTGGTCATCTAAAAAGTCGATTTTACGAATTTAACGAAAATGAATGTTTTAACCAATTCTTTTCATGTATCTTATTTCGTAAGATTTGTTGCTATATTTATGTTCTCCTAAACTGATCATGTTGAGCCAATGCGAGGTTGGTGTAGCTCTTCGTTATCGTTGTCATTGTTGTTGTCGCTGCTGTTAGTGTTTTTGGTCGATGACTGACGTTTCGACGATTTCGCCTTCCTCAGAGCCGGACGTATTTTATACAAGAATATTTTAATTGTTCGTTGGAAAAAAAAGGCTGAAGTATTAATAAAGATCGGACTTTTAAATAGATGCCATTTGGATCAAAAATACTACTCACCGTGCTGTTATGAGTGGAACTACACGCGTGTTTTTCACGCGAGACGAGCGGGACCCACCTAGTGGTCAAAAAATCATTTTGAAATAGGGCGCCAGATCACATGTGATAGTGAAGCATTCGCTTTTTCAGTTCATTTTTGGATTTTTGAAATTTATCGAAAATGCCTCAAGGGTCTGCGCATTTATGTTATTGATACCTGCGCCAGGATCCGCACATTCACTTCAAAATCATCGTCGTTGTGCTTTTGTGCCCTATGCGTACGTAGAGGAGTGTTTTGACGAATTTTAGCTTTCCCATCTGTTTGTTGGTACATTTTGTTCAAGAATGTGATTGCGTCTTTTCTGATTTGTTTCTTTTCCAGGTAGGGTATTCGGAGCCACGACCTGTTGTTTGCGCATGCTCTATGCGATTTTGTTTCGGATGTGCTCATGAATGGCATGAACCTGTAAATTGTCGTCTGTTAAAGTTATGGCTGAAAAAGTGCAGTGATGATTCCGAAACGAGTAACTGGATCAACGCCAACACAAAGGAATGCCCAAAGTGTCAGGTAAACATTTTATTTCAAAGAATTACAGCTTCAAACATTGGAATGCTTTTAATTTCGATTCCTTCCAGGTTACAATCGAAAAGGATGGAGGTTGCAATCACATGGTTTGCAAAAACACCGCTTGCCGCATGGAGTTTTGCTGGATTTGTTTAGGTCCTTGGGAACCTCATGGAAGCAGTTGGTATAATTGCAATAGGTACTTGTCGTCTAGTTAATTAATTTATTTAGTTAACAGCGTTTCAATTAATATTCGGTCCTGCAACGTTAGTTAAACGTCCAGGTATGATGATTCACGTGCGAAACAGGCACGTGATGCACAAGAGCTTTCTCGTGCTAATCTCCAGCGTTATCTTCACTACTACAATCGTTTCATGAATCATCAACAGAGTTTGAAATTGGAAAACAAGGTATATATTTTTTCGACCTTTTTGCATTGTAGTTTATCCAATGTTTGGCCATTCTTTATTATTTTATTTTAGTTGTATGCCACTGTGAAAGGAAAGATGGAGCAGATGCAGCTGCAGTCAATGTCCTGGATCGAGGTCTGCTTATTGTCATGGTTTATTTTGTTGTTTGGTTGTGGTTTTATTATAATCTTACGTTACTGAACTCAGTTATGTAACATTTAGGTACAGTTTTTGAGGAAGGCAGTGGACGTTCTGTCAGAGTGTCGCAGAACACTCATGTACACTTACGCATTTGCATATTACCTTAAACGCGATAACCACGCTGAGATTTTTGAAGGAAATCAAAGGGTCATTTTCATTCCCAGTTTTCTCTCGCATTTATACGTTTATGTCTTTTTATTTTTATGATTGTGTTTTTTAGGATCTTGAGATGGCAACTGAACAACTTTCACAGTTCCTTGAACGTGATCTTGAGAACGAAAATCTAATCACCCTGAAGCAGAAGGTTTAGTTCATTATTATGCTCCATCTCTTTGTTATGCTATACAAAACAGAGTTGTCAGTCATTGAAAGGTTTTCGTACTAAGACATGTAAACACTTATTATAGCAGCTTACGATTTCAAAGTGGCAAAGCTCTTTTCCTCGCTAACGAGCTTCAAGTAGGGAGCATTTCAGTCACCAGCTCTGTTATCGAAAACTAACGGTAAACCTGTGATAAAATTCACTAATTCGTAAGAAACCACAATGCGTCAATTTTCTCTCTAGTCTATGCCGGCGACAACAGTGATGTGGGGAACCCATGGCAAGGCTATAATGGCACGGACAACGAAAAAATCTTGCCCAACTAGGTGAATATCTCTCTAAAAACCGACTTTTATTTAACATTGGCACCAGTAGTCAATAGTTTCTTGGATTGTTGGTCGCTAAGTAATCAGGATGAAAGGTTACTCTGTGTTATAGAACACGCAGTCGAAAGGACGAAATTCTCGATAATAACTTTCGCAATGCACGTAATGCGTATGAACGACAACTGATGAATAAGAGCCATCAGCGACTGAATTCCTTGGCAAGTCAAACGTACAGCAGGAGGAAGACGGATTGGATGGTCAGAGTTCTTCACGAAAATCCTAGAAGAAAGACATGATGCTCAAGGAGTCTCTAGGGCGAGTAGAACTCACTGGGTTACTCTTGCACCTGAAAGGGAGAGATGGAAGGTTTACTGGCGCCCGCTGAACTCAGTTAACGACTAACGGGATTACAGTTCATAGAGGTGAACGTTTCGACTTCTTCATCTTCTTCATAGTCGGAGTCATCTAGGTCGATGGTCGACAGGTCGGTTTTGAGAAACATTACTATGCTCTGTGCTAGCTAACATCGGCTGCTACAAGACGCATTGCCGCCAAAAAGTGGATAATGCTACGTGGCGGCAAAAGGTCAACACATGTATTGTACAGGCGACGCCGTCGAGAAAGGATATTTAGTCCGGGCGGCTCAGCTCAAGTGAAGATTCGATTCGGTGCGAAGCCCACGTCGCACGGACCACCACCTGTGCGCCACCGATTCGGATCAATTCGGCACTGAAAAATAGGGAAAACGTCGAAACGTTAGCAGAATAAAAAAAATTGCAAACCTCATGTTTGTTTAATATTGCAGGAAGTTATAACTAGATGTCTGTCAAATGGAATTTGTGTTAGTGCCCTAACAAATTGTTAAAATACGCCATCAGTGTGTTCAAGCATTGTGAAACCATTCAAGTAAATGGACGTTTCAGGTGCAAGACAACTATCGTTACGTTGATCAGCGTCGACTTGTGTTGTTGAAACACTGCCAAGAAGGCACAGAAAAAGACATCTGGCAGTACACTCAATGAGTCTTCAATATTGCATGTAATAGCAGTGTTTAAGATTTTCCAAGTAATTTCTCATTTTTCGGAGTGATAACGAGGTTCGCGCTTACTGCTCGACTAACTACGGTTTGTGTATTTCTCCAGTGTTTCCGCGCTTTTGGTTTATAGACGTTTCTTAATACTCGAAGCATCGGGTCAGCTCATCATCCCCTGGTCGTAAACATTGGTGGGTTGGGCGTCCTATATTTTAGGCTGCAGACTTATAACCCGCCTTTACGTCTTTGGTCTTATTTCTGTGTTATCTCATTTGTGTAGTCTTACTTCAATTAGAGTTTTTACGTTTCCATGCTTCTTTTTCGTTGCAGATGTATAGTTATGCATATTGCCTAGAGGTTGCTGGTCAATTGATTAATTAAATTCGTCTCACATTATTCACATCCAAAGTCTTTTGCTCTCCAATATATTAACTGGTTTGTTTGTAAATATTTCTTAAAGTCACCTCTTCACTGATCCTTGGGGGTTAAGTACTTTAATATTTCATTTGACAAGTTGCCTTACATCTTTTAATGGCGATGTATAGATAGTGAGATCGGATTTGTGATTTGAATGCATAAAGCGGTTTCAGTAATTGTGCAGTGGGTTTGTTTTGCGATTTCGTTGTTTACGTATATGATACATTTTCCGACATTTAATGATGGGTCATTATTTTAGGTGCCTTCGATAATAGGTTTTCAAAACAGTGGGAAATAGTGGTCCCGTATTCAGAATTACATACTGGGGTCATATTGGACCTTACTGGGTGCGTGTGATCCAGTGGTCAGAGGCGCCGTGCAAAAAGCAGGTGATCGATCCGCGCTTCAGGCTCGCCAAGCTTTTCATCCCTTAAATAATATAGGTCTTTGACTAGGGATTTGAATACCTTTGTTCTACTAGGAGGAAGTCTTACTTTCTGGTTCCTCGAGATTCATATTTAGCATCCCTGTTTCTTGACATGAAAGCAGCTGAACAAACGAAATCTCGTCTGACATGTAGTGGTGGTGATTATGGATGCATAGTAGGTATTTAGGGTGTCCTGCGTTGCGGTTTTTAAAATTTTTAGGTTCGTTTTCAGTTTTTAAGAATTCTACTTCTAAACAAATTTAAACCCGAACTAGGGTTGTGTAGAAATTGTGTATACCTCTAAAGCGATGGTAAGTTTTTCCTGGAAATGTATGATATTCTGAAGTCCTCGAATGTTCCAGTGTTCCAAGGGTCATTGTCAATTGTTGAAGAAGTTTTGGACCTTAAAGTTTTGGATTCTCCGGAAGTTGTTACATTGTTCAATGAAAGCTGTTGAGACTCCCTGGAAAGTCTTTTATATCGACGTGCCGCTAAGTCTCATGGAATTATTGTTTTCGGATACTTCCTTGGATGCTTAGACGGCCTGTCTCCACTGGCTGTGCAGACCTCAGCATATTCTCCATTTATCAGAGTTTATGCTTGTTTAGCCATCGTGGCTCCCTGGAGTTCCGAGGTTAGCCTGGCCAACGTCGGCTCCAGGTCGTCACCACCACACGCAGTCGCCGTCCTGGTGGATGAGAAGGAAATTTGCCACCATGCAACTAGTTTGATAGCAGGACGATGACGGATCTTGCTATTGGTCTACTCTTAGGAGGGCTTAGAGATGGAAACGTCTGTTTCTTTCTCAGCTTGAGAGACCCTGCTGTAAGATGAATCACCATGGCAGCCTGACACCCAGGAGGAACTACCGGCCACGATGAAGCGGTAAACCGATAGGAGGTTTTTGTTCTCGAGCTCTGTTAAATATAGAAGTTGGTACTACTACCGTTTGAAGACATGATAGTTAGAGCTAACGTTAGTTAGAGCTAGATAGTTGGTAATTTTGTTTGTTTTTGGTAAATAAGAATGCGTTTTTTATTTTCTTATAGGAACGTCTTCTTCACTTTAGTTGCCGAGTCATTTCTAATATCCTTACAAAATGTCACTCGCCGAGGAGCTCATGGCTGATTTTGAGGAGGATGATGCTGATGATATTGAACAAGCCATAGAAGTGAGCTGACTAGTCCGTTGATATGTAATTTGAATCTCTCGTTCATTATAGTAGTTGTAGTTATTAGCTAAATTCATTTCTTATGTAATAGACTTTCGTGTTATCAGGTAGTGAACGGCGAAGAAGACATAGAAGAAGCATCTGAATTCGCGCCTGTAAAGAGCGACTACAATTCTGTGTATGACGTCGCAAAGATGACGTTAACAGATGAGTCAGTTTTACAGTACTTGTTTTAGTCGATGGAGTTAAAGTTCATTATTCACGTGTTGTTTGTTTTACGTGTAAAACCAATGCCTCCCAACGGCCTCATTATGGTGTTCTGTTCCTTTTTTTTTCCTGAGTGCTTTTTTTTTCTGAGGTGTTCCTGAGTGCCGGGCTATGACGTAGAGCAGGGTGATTCATCCTCCCGGCAAGGCCTCTCAGGCTGAGAAAAAGTGCGGTATTTCCATCTGGAAGCCCATCTATGAGCAAATCAATACCGGGATCGACCATCGTCCTGGTATCAAACTAGTCGCATGCTTGCAAATCTCCCTGTGATCCACAAAGACGGCGAGTGTTTGTGGTAGTGACGACCTGGGGCAGACTGGCTAGGCTGACCGTGGGACGCCAGGGAACCACAATGGCTAAACCAACAAAACTTCGAGAAAATGGAAATTATGCTGGCGCTCGTACAACCAGTTAAGACGGGCCATTTAAGTATCGAAGTGAGTAAGTAAAACTAATGAAGTTCCACTTGTTAATCTAGTGAGCTGGAGTTTCCTTAATGGACTCTCGCTTCGAGGACACGAAGAGGACCTCGCTTTATGTATAAAACCCTCTATTTTTCTATTCTCTATTTTTATTGTTTTCTCTAGAGATTTTCCCATTAGACGCGGGGTTATCCGTCCGAGGTCGCTGTTACCGGACTTTGGGATGAAAGCGCGAAACACTGCACTTTAACATCGGCAAATACCCCATTGCCAGAATGAAGCGCAAACAGTCGATGGGCAGCATGTACACCACGTTGAAGCTTTTTGTGGCATCTATTTATTTACTCATGCAGGTACCGTGAGCTGATATCAACATTAAATTCCGAATTGGAACGTACAGACGAGGTTCATGTTACTGCCCCTCTCGAATCCGATCCACAGTATCGTTTAATCGTACGACTTTCTCATGTAAGCGTTTCAGTGTTTGATTTTTGTTTTTCATGCTTACTATGACTTTGTGCAGGGTCAAGTTGCAAAGAAAACAAGTAAATCCTGAGTCAATCTCAACGTCGCAGCGAAATTAGTAGCCCAAGTTTCAGTTACAAAACAGAAAAGCTGAATAGTTACCCGTTTTCTTGGTTGCGTAGTTGCTGCATAAGGTATGATGTGGCTTAGAAATTAATGGCAGGTTTCGGTATGTTTCCAGCAGGAGCTTAAATGTCGCCTACTGTTCGATACTGTTCGAGCTGTTTGACTTTCTCTAGGAATTTTAGGTGTTTGAAACGTGTTGAGTTTAAAACAAACGGTTTTCGTAACTGTGAAATTTCTGACAGCACGTTTCAAATCACTGGACAAGTAAGCCCACAATATTTCTAGCTGACTACGCAGGCAGCATTGGTTCATCTTAAAATTTCCGTTGTCTCATTGGGTTGATGAGATTTTCCGTCAGTTTTTTTTATTCATTTCGATCCCTGTTTCGGGTTTATGGGCTTGCCTGCGAAGCCTTTAGCATTGTATTTTCTTTTCATTTTTCAACAAAGAGTCTTTAACTAGACAAAACACCGTTAAAGTGGCATTAAATTTTATTCATATGTTGAAAAAAGTTGTGGGTAAGTAAAAACTGAATGTAAAGGTGTTGACTGTTGTGTTAGAAATAAATCGGTCATAGGCGTTATGATGAATTTTTTGGAGAAACGTGCAAATTGTTAGCATGTAGCCATCACTTTGCAGAAATAGAGCGATTCTTATTTAACTTCTAAACGACTTTTACACGATGGCAACCGTTTGGGCTATGGGTAGGCAGATACTTTACTATACATTATATATATATATGTATATATATACTTAGTTACTTGGATATTTGGACGGTCCGTCTTCACGAGCTGTGCAGACCCCAGCACATATGCCATTCGTTCCTTTCTCTCGCAATCGTAGTCCGTGATGGTGGTCTTGTTCGAGCGTGGTAGCGCGTGCGAGTCTCATACCGTAATCTGTAAGATAACTGCAGCTGCGGGTACAGCTGATTAACTTTGTTTATGAACACGCCCGCCCAACGTGTAGGTGGTTGTCTAAAGGAACGTTTGCATTCTCTGGGAGTCCACTTTACTGTTCTTTTCGTCCATCTGTCGTCTGTTCTTCTCATGTGGCCGGTCTATCTGTTTCGCTATCGATGCATATTCTCCTGGATCTCGAAGATGTGACAGATTTCGAAGGTGAGAGCTCCGCATTCTGGCTACATGTTGAGTGTGCCGGTTATATTTCGAAAGACATCGCTCAAGCGCTCTGTGAGTAGTTCGAAGTATTCTTGACGTAGCTGAAGTATCAACCCACGTCTCTGCAGCATAACAGAGCGCTGGGAGGACCGTAGAATCGAAAAGGTGAGCGCATATTTTCGGGTCCTTCAGTTGGTTGGTGGCTTCTTTGAGTGGTCCGAATGGGGTCCAAGCTGCTCTCATTCTTCTATCTAGTTCCTCCTTCATGTTGTTTTCCATCTTCATTGCTCGCCCAAGGTAAACGTACGAGGTGGTCTCTGCAATGAGAGAGCCATCCAATTCAATCTTTTCGCCTTCGCACCATGGGTTTTTCATGAACTGGGTCTTTTTTCGATTTATGCGAAGTCTGATCTTTTTCCCCGCTTCGTTGAGCTCGTTGATGATCACTTCTGCTTCACTAGTACTTTTAGCGAAAAGTACTAGCGTATATATATATATATATATATATATATATATGATGTCCAACGCAGGCCTGTCACTAAGAGATTCCCGGACGGCTAGCGAGGCAACGTGGCGCGTCTCCAGATTACGACGAAGTATTTAAACGCAATTGAAAAACAACTTTTTACTTCCCTAAGAAGCAGCTGGATCCGTGATGTGGCTATCTGTTTTTACTGCACTGCATCGACACATACCTTCTGTGTTTATGTATACATATGCTTATTCATCCCTGAATGTGTATTTTTGCATGTGCAAATTGTATTATGCAACTCACTTTGTCCAAAAACTGGGATCAAGTGACTGAGAACTACATGGAAAGTTAGTTGACACCTCCAGTAAACAAATTGCACGTCTGTTGTAGAAGAGACTGGCACGCTACCCTTTGGTATATGCAGCCCTAACGCTGAGAAGTGGAACGAACCAGGTATATCAAAGTAAAACACGGTAAAAGAAACGGACGTGATTCCCCTGACATAGGCAGAGCTCCGATTCTGCAGCTTTAGGTAGGATGGGTACGGAATGTTTGCTAAAATCTCAGGGCCATACTTGGCAGTCTGGACCTCGAAGGATTGATGTAACTATCAGTGTCTATACTGCACATTCACGTGTTTCTGAGTCTTCCATTGAGGACCTGATGATATGAGCTAAGCACATTACGTATGACGTCATCCCATTGGTTGGAATGAGAGGACGTCGCCTGTTCAACGCTGTCCGTAATACTGAAAAAGACTGCTACTCGGAATATGCATAGAGGAGTCGGAGTTCTCGTCAACACGAGTTTGGCCAGGAACACCGATTCCAATGAAGAACTGACGACTGGATTCAGAAGCTTACAGTTGAAGAGGTGTAGATCGATACCGGCTTTGACAGTTTTTGTCGTCTACACACCGAGATCCAGCTATAATCGAAACGTTTTGTATGGACTTGGGGAAATTCTATGCAGATCATGCATTCCTTAAAGTTATTATTGAAGATTTTAACACTAAGATAAGACCCAGTAGAGTGTCTTAAGAACTCCGCAGTGAAACCAATGGAGTAGAGTGGAACCAGCAAGGTAGGGGCTGTCTGAGTTTATAATGATGACGAAAACCATTCGTGGTAACTCGCAATTCCAGATCCCCCAATCTTTTACCTAACCCACTCCCCTATTTTTTTAGAAATTCTACACGGGATCCCACTATCGCCTCCTTCATGCAAAATTCCATTTTTCACGGAAAAGGTAGAAAACTACAAAGTTTAATTAACGAAATCCCAAAACCACAGTGAGTCGGGGTTTATTCAAATGACAAGTCTGCTGTGGGAGGTAACGTTCTCAACGATGACAGAGAATACGACCGGTTTATTCAATATCTTCACCTTGATGCTATGAAAGTTGAAAGTTCGACGATGAAAGAGAGACAACTGTTTCCAGGAGCACTTGAGCTAATACATTGTGAAATCGCCCTAACAATAGGCAAGTGGCAATTTTCGTCCGTGTTTGCAAACCTCTTCAAAATGGCGATAAACGACCTTAAGGATGGAAGAGAAGCAGTAGTAGCTGAAACTGTAAACGCTGGGAGAATCATTCGCAAAGCCCACCGAAGCTTTGCCAATTGCAAGTAGAAGATGATTGCACTCCGACGCCCAGCCGGAACAGTTCCAGCTTCCAGAAAGGCATGCATAAAATCATCCACGATTAGCCTTCAAATCTCTTCAATAACCACGTTCTCCTGCCTTCATATGAAATGAAGGAAGTTGGATATTTCGCACAACTGGTTCTTTTTTCGGAAATCCGCCATGGTATTTCGTCGGTAGGGATCGAATAACACCAGGTCCTGAAGGAATAAGATTTGAACACCTGAAGAGCCTTCCATCAGTCCTCTTAAACACACTGGTTCTGCTCTTCACACGTTACCTGCAAGAATCAGCGGTTCCTATTGAATGGCAGACCAACAAAACTGCGTTATAATTCGAGAACGGTAATCCCCATGATATTTGCAACTATTGACCAGTTCTCTTGCTGTCTGCCATTTATTTATCTTTCACTCGGTTCATCCTAAACAGAATTGACAAAACACAGGACGAAAGACATCCCTGTGAGCAAGCAGGGTTACGAGAAGAATTCAGCACGATGGATCACATCAACTCGATAACATTTTCATCTAATTAAAGAAAGCTGTCGGCTCATTTGAGATGGAAGCAGTTATGAAAGCTCTAGACAGCCAGAACGTCACTACTCGGTACATAAAGTTCCTTCGTGAACTATATTAGAATTTCTTAACCAAAGTGTCGTTTTTCTACAATTATATTAGCTTCAATATAATGAAAGGGGTTCGACAAAACTATGTGATTTCGCCAAAACTGTTTACAGCTACTCTTGAGGACGTCATCCAAACATTGGAGTGAAACAACATGGTGCTGGAAATCAAAAGTTGTGGTACCGTCTTCGCTTTGTTAACGACATTGTTCTTGTAGTGCCAAGCATTGCCGAGATGGAAGCAGTGCTTACCGGTTTTGATAACGATTGTAGAAGGATTGGCCTTCGACCAAACCTCACGAAAGCGATTTAGAACTACTTCTGGTTCCAGAACGATTTTCTTTTGATGTCCCATTCACATTCAACCTAGTTAATATTTTTATATGATCCAACTACATCTGTCTAGACCTGGAGCCGGCATAATGAACAACTTCGCTCCAGGATTGAGCAGGAAGAAGCGAATGGCTTGAAGAGTCTTCAGGAGTTGAGAATGTAGTGAAGAAGACTAGGAACACGTAAATTTAATCTAAATTGTATATATATATACATGTGTATGTACATATACATGTGTGCATATATATATATATATATATATATATATATATATATGCACATATATATATGTGCATATATATATATATATATATATATATATATATATATATACGTAGAGAGAGAACGGTATAATGGATTCTATGAGTTTGTCAATCTTGAAGACTTCGACTACCGCAGTTTTTTTTTGCTTACCAAAAAATTATCGGCAGTTACCAAAAGGACGCGCACGTTTGTTTCTTTTACTTTTTTTTCTTGTTTCTTTTCATATTTGTTCTTATGCCTAACTAAGAAACGAAAGACTTCTCTACAGCATTGTGTTGTGCAATTTGTGTAATTTTAAACACACAGAGAGTCCATCTAGGGCATCATGTCCTATTTCAACTAGCTTCGTTTTGGCTTTCGATTTTGAATGAAAATGCGCTGGTCGCCCATTATTTGTGAAAGCGGTAAGTTCAACAGTTAGGTAAGCACAACCTAAAGTTTGTCTTTTTTCAGCTTGCTGCAGATTTGGACGGCGAAATAAATGTTATTCACAAGTTTGTTCGTGACAAGTATGAGAAACGTTTTCCCGAGTTGGAAACGTTGGTGCCAAACCCTCTCGAATACTTAGCTGCAGTGAAACTTCTTGGAAATGAGATTAATACAAAGGGGCAAAACAAGGCAAGTTTGTTTGTTGACCTCCGTATTTTGACATTGATTACTTATTTATCGCGCCAGTCTGAGCTGTATATGATACATACGGTGTGAAAATACAGGCCAATTCTAACTGCCTACCAACATACCGCGGTTCCTAGTGTTCGCCTAGTGAATATCATTAAATGTACTAGTAAGGCAAATGAGGCTTATTTGTCTTTTTCAGCTGGATTTAAAATGTTTATTCCGCTAAAATGAAATTCTGGTTTTCTAGAGCCCACAATCGCAATTATAAAAAAGCGGCGGTTGCGAATATTTTTGTTTTCAATGTGCGTGAATTTACCAAGTAGTTAGTTTTTTTATTTTTTAAAGCATTTTCCGAATAAATTTCTGCCTTCATTCTGTGCTCATTGGATATTTATTGAGACGAAAGTATAGTAAACGATGTGGATCGTTTTCAACTCATATTGAGTGGAAGTGAGCTCAATTTTGAGCTTCTCGCTTTGAACAATCATGTGCCATTTCAGAGTGGAGTTTATTAATCGAAATGAGGTCACCAGACCTAGAGAACTTTGCCAACAATATACAAATCTTGTCACCTTGTAAAGATAATTTTTTTGTTTTTCGTGTTTTTTTTGCGGGAAGCACCAAACATTGTTTCCTTCCTTTTTGTCGGCGTGCATATTTCGACCAACCAAGTGGGATTTCGTCTGGAATGAGCTGTTGTCCTTCAGATGGGAAAAAATGAAATGTGAATACAAATGGAAGAAAATCAAAAGTTGTCCTTCATTTGTCGCAGTGTCGTTTGCAGCTACTACACTCACTAGAGTTTTCAAAAAATTTGTTTCGCTCCACATGCCCATAGATCTGAGTTTTACACAAATTTAGAAATCTCGGTATTGTTCCAAAGAATTTGCACGTCTTCATAGAGCGATAGAGCTCAGTCTTTTCTTATATTTTGCCATTCCTTAATTGTTATTTTTAACTAGCGTCAAAACATTTATTTTCTTCAGCCATAGCATTTGAAGCAAATGTGGTCTATGCCATAAAGAAGTTCAGGAATTACTTGGTCAAATTCTCGCGCCAGCCACATGTATCGTTGTATCTGTAACTGCTTCAACAACACAAGGCAAATCTTTGGAAGCAGATGAATTGCATGCTGTGAGGGAAGCTTGTGACCTAGCTGAAAAGTTGCATACGGTATACCACATTTATCTCGTTCATCTTTAAATCCAGCAATTAGATTTAAATTATAGGACCGGATATCCATGTACCGTCTTGTCGAGCTCCGAATGGCGTTAATTGCTCCAAATCTTGTCCATTTACTTGGGGCAGCAACCACCGCACTCTTGGTTAGCTTAATAAAAGTCTGTTCAAGATTTGTCACATTTTGCATTTTTGTACTAGTTTAAGGTTTCTCAAGCAGGAGGCCTAGCACCATTGTCGCGGATGCCAGCTTGCAATATTCAAGTATTAGGCCGACAAAAGAAGTCCTTGGCTGGGTTCTCTTCTACAACCGCGCTTCCTCATGCTGGATTTGTGTACTTCCATCCTCTTGTTCAATCAATGCCACCTGATCTAAAGTCGTAGGTGTTTATATTCTTCTTGTCGCTCTAAACTTATTTAGTTGGATCAATATGAGGCTTTCTTTACGGTGGATATATTGCCTTTTGTCATTCTTTTCTTCAAGCCTTATTGCATGTTCTCTTTTCTGCTTTCCATTTTGACCAATATTGTTATTCAGTTTCTCGAAACAATTCGTCCTTTTTTTCTTGCAGAAAAGCGGCTAAAATTCTTGCTTCAAAATGTACGCTCGCGGCTCGAGTGGACTCACTTCACGAGTCTCCAAACGGAGCTATTGGAATCGCCCTGCTTGAAGAGGTTTGTTTATTTCGAATGCAAATTTGCTGCTAGTTTTCGATTCACTGTTTCAAGGTACGCAACAAGATGGAAAAACTCATGGAACCTCCACCAGTAAAGGCTAACAAGGCTCTACCAAAGCCGCTGGATAAAGCTAGCAAAAAAAGAGGAGGTTTGTAAGTACTTTTTCATGTGCTTCACCTTCCATGTACGTCCGTTTGAATGCGGATTACCTAGGACGACGTGTTCGTAAAATGAAAGAAAGAATGGGGATGACCGATTTGCGCAAGAGCGCTAACCGTATGAATTTTGGAGAGTTACAGGAGGATGTACTACAGGATCATATGGGTTTCGATTTGGGACAGGTTGTTTCTTTTTTGTTTCCCATAACCAAAATTACACATAGCCCCATAAATGGTTGTAGGTATTTACTTCACTGCATATTCCTTCTGACTCTTTGTTTAGTTTGGCCTAGGAACGCGTTGTATATAGAGCAAGTTCCTTTACAGCCACCTCCACGGTCTTTAAAACTTAGAAAGAGAAGACTGGTTGGCGTGTATAAATTGATCTCCATTCATTTGTAGCCAAGAAAAATTGCTCCTCTCAACTTTAAACAAACATATTCTGGACCGTTTTGCTTGTGTAAATTCAAATAAGGGCAATTACAGTTTATATACCTTTAACAACAAGCTATAGGCTTCCTGTTCTGTTGCAATGAAACTGGTTTTTTGGAGATCATAGATTTCTTTATTTTTTTACGTTGACAACATCTCGATAAGAAAAGTTGTTGGAAAAACTGTTTTTCATCGAATTCAGGAAACTTGGATTTCGAACATGTAAATTTAAAAAAACAAACTCAGAGCTAAATTGTTATTTGGTTGAGTCATCCGTATTAAGTTGTTTGGAAATAAATTGCGCATATTGAACTATAAAGGTCTGATGAGTTCTATAGAGGAGGCAGAGTCTGTAGCGCTGCTCGTTCAGTCTTTGCTGTGTCGATTGTTGAACATGTAGCTACACGTTGTCGTCGAGAAGTGGATTCTGCTTTTCTTTTTATCAATGCGGACGTATCCATTGGGAATTTTGCATTTTGTCGACTTACTAGACACACATTTTGCTTTAATCGTTTCACTCGGATTTAAGAAGCTGTGGTGAACCAAACCAGCTGTTAACGATCAAACAGTCAGTATGACCTTCTTCTGGTGCAATTCCGGTCAAGAGAAGTGCTGTGGAGCTTCATCGCTGTCAAACTAATGAATTGATCGTCGTGATTTATCAAAGAGGATCCTTTTTTCGTCGTACGTTACGATACGGTCGAGAAATGGATCGTTCTGACTGCGCAGAAGAAGCGCCGAAGGTACTACAAAACGGCTCGTTGTTTGGTCGTCATTCAATTCTATTTTTAAAGCTTCTTCGACTTATGTTATTTTAATTTTAGAATTATTACCTATCGCCACCAACGATCTATACTTAGCAGTGACACCCTAACCATCCAGTGCCTACATTCCCGTTTGGTAACTTTCGTACATTGGGTTTCTAACTCATGGAGATGTAAGAAAAGCCAGTCGAATTCGTATTCATATCATCAAAAACGGTGGCTTCCGAAGAATTGATTGAAAATCGAAGCAAATTCAAGCTTACTACAGCTTTTTTCGGATTTTGATTCTTAAAATTTCCAGTTTTTTTTGTTTATTTGAGAACAAGATTCATATGCGACGGATTCGGTGGTCTGATTCCCTGTAAAAGTATGGAACACTAACGACATCGGCTGAGTAAAAACTCCAATTGACTGTGGTGTTTTTTGACTTTTATTTACTGCAAGTTCCTTTTTAATGGCAGGATGAGATGTGGAACATAATCAAGACGACATTGGGATATGAGCAAGACTCGGAACCACTGAAGGGCTTCGAACTTATGACTATCCTTAACATGGGCTTATATGCTATCCACTACACCAACCGTGGTCCTCACTTTGCCTTTATCAGAATAAACAGTAAAGAATGAGCTGTTGCCAAACAAGTCTGGTACCGATTTCTGGCCCCGGCGGTATCGGAGGCTCGGTGAAAGTCGAATCAACACCGTGTTCATGATGATCGGCAACACAATCAGAGCACTACTTGCACGGGTATTATCAAATTCTTTATGGTATTCGCAACGTGAACAACCACATGGCCATCGTCCGGATTAGGACTTCCGGAGTTTTACCACTATTGTTCATTGCCATCGTGATAAACTAAGACAACATTCATCTTATTCGCAATTCGTGTTTATGGACTTTTGGACATGGACAAAATATTCGTGCGAAAAGTTCTTGAGACGGTATATTCAGCGAAACATTTTTCAAAGTGCATAAACATCATCTCGCGTTCTCATAGCTTGATGCTGGGATGTAGACGGTAGAGATTGTAAAACCCATGTCGGTCGACATCTTTTCCACTATAATTATTCGATTACGGTCGTTGTATAGCTTGCATCGTCATATTCTCAATGAACAATTTGAAATCTGATGCACGTGCGTTGTTGATTTAGAGGGCATGGAATGGGGATTTTTGTAGACTCCTTGCTCACAAATTTTTCAATGTTTCCTTATCGAAATTTTTTTGAAACTAAATATTTCCACTACTTTAGGAATTTATTGAACTATGGCGTGGAGGATTTGTATGTTTTCAGTAGTTTGCCAATCTTTTTCGGAGAGCTCATCTGTTAGATGGGACTTTTGATCACCTCCCATCTAGGTCCCAGTTACTGGATTGCAGCGTTTTGCTAAGTTGATTTGCAGGATACGGTACGCATATATACCTGTATCTACCCAGATATGGAAGATATGTAACATTTCGACGAACTAGGAAGAAGAAGTCTCTCGTGAATTTGGCTGCGTCTCGCCATCAGTGTGAGGTTGTTTTTAACCCGCGATTAACCGTCTATCCGCTGGATGAATATGCGGTGACTAGCCTCGCAACCAATTCGCTGGGGGTTCTTCATTGATTAATCCTTTAGGGATGCACCGTGCATTAGACTTCATCAAGCATCTCTAGAGGTGCGTGAATGCATACCTGGCCTCTGACTTGCGATGGCTTACCAATGTGGCAAATCAGCGCCGCTATCCACTCTGACAACTCTGGTACCAATGTGCCGAGCCAGGAAGGAAGGAAACCTTGGAAATTGTGTATCTCACTTGTTATATAACTAACTTTCTATATTTTAGTAAATTTTGCTTAGTAAATTCGCTTAGTAAATTTCGCCGTATTGAATTTTTGTGGAAATCCTGTTTTCTAAACAAGCATTTTAAATCGAACGGCGATGTATAGTGGGCGTGCGTTCCCAGCAGGACTTTCTGGGTTGGGAAAGGAGTTTGGCGTTTCTACCCAGACTTTTAGACAATGGTAAACCAGTGCCAAAAAGAACTGCCGTCCTGGAAACATGGTCAGTGGTGAATACCTATAAATGCCATCGCAAGCCTTTTGAATTTCCGGTGAAAAAATTGTGCCCAACTAGCAGTTTGCTGGTCATATGGAATTGATCCATGTGATTCCTCGTAGTTTGCGAAGACGGGTTAGGCCGTTCAAGTGTTCATCTAGTGTTTTTTCAGATCAAAAGAAAACTTGGAGAGAGTATTATAAAATTAGTGCCATACATGTTGACGGTGTTTAAAATTGATATAAAATATAGCATGATCTATAGGTGTATATATGTTCTTACGAACTGTCCATATTGAGCTGATGCGATACTGGTATTAGCTGTAGTTGTTCCTGTTGTTATCCGATGACTGACGTTTTGTCGACTTTGCCTTCTTCAGAGCCTGCGCGTCTTTTGTATAACAAACGCCGTATAATTCCGTGAAATATCTATAGTTTTAATGAACATATAACTTATGAATGAACGCCATTTTATTTAAAAAGAAACTGCTCACAGTGCTGTTGCGTGTTAGACCAGATATATACATATATCGAATGTTTATGGCGAGGTTTATAGACAATCGGTCTTAGCTGCTATGTGATTGCTATCATTTAAGAGCTCAGTACAAACTCTCGAAGCTAACACATTGACAACGACGCCCATTCTAATGAATCCGAAACAGGGAACGAAGCCTAATTTCTCGTTGCCAGATTTTGAAGTGAATCAATCCTATTCATCTTGGCTACCCCACTCCATTCTCAACAGGTTGAGCGCGCTTTTTGTTATACTGTTCGCGCTGTAGTACTACGCTTTATATGTTTTTTTTTTGAAACTAATTTCTGCCTTTTCGTCTTTCTCATATGCTCCATGTATCCTTCCATATCCTTCCATGTTTTTGAAACATTTTAATCTCTTATGTGTAATGAAAAAGCGCTATGTCTTAGTACCGTGTCCTTCAGAAATACTCGGTTCGATAGGAGATTTCTTCATGCCATTTTCATTAACGGTAATCTCGCTGCTGGACGAGTAATTTTGTCCCAAAGTAGATTTTTGAACCCTACAATATGTAGAAAGTAGGCCCACGCCTGATGCAAAATTTATTGACATTGGGAAAGCTGCTGATTGAAAAAAATCGTATCGAAGAATTCTGTGCGGAACAATAAACAATCGCAAGCTGCATGAGTGGTAATCAATTCATACTGACGTCATAATCCATTTTATTGTTTCCGGATAGCTTGCATTCTTGGAATGTTTTGTCGATGGCTTCTCCTGTAGCGTTAAAAAAGGCAGTAGCATTATTCAGTTACAGGTGAAGACGGGTAACATTGCTGGTGGTCGTATCAGAGCCGGAGTTGTGGACAACAAAACACGAGTGAAGATGTCACAGAAAATGCAACGACAGATGGAACGGCAACGAGCGCAAGGGGGCGTCACGAGTATTCGCAGTAGGGTGAGCAGATATTCTACCGCACAGAAGCGGAGTATTGTCGCGTTTCTTGATTAGTCGAGAAATCGGGATTAAAATCGGTAGCATGCGAATGAGCAAAGGCTAGGTTTTGTGCTTAATATGTCATCCTTATGGGTGTCTTCGATCTCACGAAACTGATACCGTTCTACTCATTTTCGTCGTAGATTTGACCAAATGTAGATATGGAACCATCATTTAATCACTTCTGTGCTTTTGTACTTTCTGTAACAGTCAACTATATGTATGTTCTATATTTAGACTGCGGGTACAGCATCATCTGTGACATTTACACCGGTTCAAGGCCTCGAGATTATCAATCCGACTGCTCTCGAAAAAACTGTCAACTCATCTTCGACTTATTTTTCTCCTTCAGCTTCTTTTGTAAAAATCGCCACGCCGAATGCGAAATGATTTATGAACTTGATGAATCTGTTTTTTTTTTCTTGGTCTCGAATTGTCTTTTTGCTACACTTTTCCCTTAATGATCTTGTCTTGTTCAACCGTGTTATGCACATTTATTGCATTGTTGTTTTTAAATTTTTCTTCTATATTATTCTATTATTTCTCATAGAAGATCTCCGTCATAAAGGGATCTCGTCCCAGTTAGCTGCGAATCAACATAACGCGACACAACGAGACGGATAGGGGGTTAATCGCGGACCAAAAGTGACCTTTACTTCCTTGATACGTAGGTGGATCCAGGTCGGAAGCTGTGGATTTCTCGCCAACATTGAGTTTGACTGTGAACATAAATTCAAACAAACAACTAACAACCCGAATTGGATGTTTACGATTGGAGAGATTAGACATTCTTCGTCGTTTACGCACTGACATCAAACTATGACGAAGAAGTCGAAACGTTCTATATGGACCTGGAGAAGTTCCACAGAGAAGACCATACATTCTTCAAGGTCATAATTGGAGATTTTAATGCCAAGATTGGACCAAGAAGAACGTCATATTGCGACCGACGGCTTGAAATTAAACGAACAGGGTGAGCCGCTCTCTGAGCTTATCATGACGACCAGAACCATCCATGGTAACTAGCAGTTTCAGAAGACTCGTCTTCAACACTGGACGTGGGAGTCCCCAATGGAGAGTACCGTAGCGAAATAGACCACATGGTATGCTGGATGTTTGGTCTAATCGATGTCTCCCAAAATTCTAAACGGAGTCAGACTGTCTCCCCCGTGAAAGATTTCATTTTTCGCGGAAAAGGGAAAAGCAGCTAGATTCGAAAAACGAAGTCCCACCAAGACCACCGTAAGCCGAGATTTATTCAGCTCGCTTGTCGGCTGCTCATAAGATGACTCTTGATAGCATCGACAAGGATTACGATCTGCTCATTCAACATCTTCACGTTATCGCTGTAAAACTGAGTGCGAAGGTCACCAAGAGATGTCTGTTTCCGGGAACACTTGAGATGAAATGCCAATGTTGAATCGTACGGGCTACAGACAACTGCTAGTTCGCGTCTGAACTTTCAAAACAATGCAGACAGGCGATGAAAAAAGACCTTTATTCCGTACCACTGGTTCTCCCTTCCAAAATCCGACGTGCTATTTCATCGGTGAAGAATCAAACAACACCAGGTCTGGAGATGATAAGATATGAACATCCGGAGAACCTTTTGCCAGTAATAAACACATTGGCTCTGTTCTTCATGTGTTACCTGTCACAGGGTTCCTGTTCAATGGAAGATCAGCAAGGCACTGTTATTGCTCAAGAAGTATGACCAATCAGGGTTTTGAAAAGGACTTGGTGCGATAGACCACGTCCGCACAATAGCAAGATCCACTGAAGTATCGCAAGAGTACAAAAGATAACTCTGTCTCACTTTCAACAATTGTAGGAAGGTTTTTAACTCAGGTGAGGTAGAAACAGTCATGGAAGCTTGCTTCGTGAGCTGTATAAAAATTTCACAATCAAGATATTTCCATTCTACAACAATATTGATGTCGTCAAAACATGGGTTAGGCAAGGCGATACCATCTCGTCAAAATGATTTAGCGCTATCCTCGTGAACATCATACGAACATTAGAATAGATCAACACGGGAGTGAAAATCGATGGTAGGGAATCACATCATTTTCGCTTTGCTGATGACATCATTGTTATAACACCAAAGAATAGCCAAGAAGAACGAATGCTTTCCGAGTTTGATGAAGCCTGTGGAAAGATCAGTTTACGGCTAAATCTCACAAAAACGATGTTCGTGAAGACCAGGTTAGTTATGTGTACCAAATTTATGCTCAACGAAATGAACATCTTTGAATGTTCTTGGCCTATTTAAGTAGGGAAATTAACATGATGAATGGCTCATCTCCAGAGTTGAGCAGGAGGAAGCAAGCGGGGCTTGGGGAGATTTCAAGAGCATCGAAGATGTAGTGAGGAGAACGAAGAACATCCGTCTCTGTGCCCACCCTTTCGAGGCGACAATTCTTCCTGTCCTAACGTATACCTCAGAAAACTGGTCGATGGGTAAGCAGAACGGAAGACTACTCAGCGTTATATAATAAGCAGTCGAAAGAACGATACTAGAAGTATTCCGTGTCGCACAAGTGAGGGGAAGGATTCGAAGCTCCGATCTACGTCAGTGATCAAAAAAAACCAAGACGCCGTTTTATCCTTCTATACTTCAAACTTCGAAGATAGGATGGAACGGGGGCACACAAAATGCGCATAAACGGCTATCGATGGAGACAAGAGCCGTTAGTAACTGTATTCCTCGAGGTGTCAAATTTACTGCAAGAAGACCAGCGACCCGATGATCAGAGTTCTTTGTGATAATCCTGGAAGAAAGATGTGGTGCACAGCGAGCCTCTGGAGCTAGCAGAACTCACCGGGCTACTCTAGAAGGCGACAGGGGAAAATGGAGGATTTACTGGTGTCAGTTCGAGCCATTCAACGACCAATGGGAAGACAGGTGCCTCAGGTGATTGTGTTGTCGGACTTTTTACTAAGGGGCGGTTAACGCAGAGGCAACTATGGCGATCATCACGTGAACAGTCTGTTCGACTCGGCCTCGGGCTCACAAAGCCTCTCATCACTTTGAAGGCGGGGAATTAGTGCCAGGTTTATCTGAAAAAAAGCTCACTCTCTGAAATCGAAGTGGAAACACCCTGTACCAGATATCTCAGGAGTCCAAGAAGAGTGAACTCGATCAACATCCAACGGAATTCGTGGTGAAAGGAAAGTGCATAAATAGATGCCGAACTCATCCACAGAAGTTGTGAGACCTACACGAATCATGGATGGAAGGAAACGAAGCGAATGCAGGAATTGCCGAAATCAGCACGGTAGATGTGGAAGGCAAGTCTTGTGAAAGAGGAAGAAACTGGAAGACGCATTGCTTTTCTAATTTTTAAAAACATCTATTTTAGATGTTCAAATTCTAAACGGAGAAGTTACCTAAGAACAGCTGGTGTAAACTGTTTTGCTGAGAAGCAGGCCCGAGAAATTTCTCTTAATTGGATTATGAGTTCAAGAGACAATAAATGAGCCACTCGTTCTTCATGCGTACCGTTTCCAGTGAGTCTCGTCGGGTTCGCTTTATTGCTCGGCTCAGGAGTAAAAAGTGGCAAAGAAGCTCTCAAATGTTTTCTTATGAATGTACACGAGGGTGATAAAGAAACTTATTCCGTTAAAGTTTTGACGTCGTCTTCTTCAGAGTCGGATTGATTAAAGTCGATAGTTCGCAGTTGGCCGTTGTGGCGATGTGGATGTCCATTGTCGCACCCAGTCGAATCCAACCTTGTGGTGCTGCTTCACATAATATCCTACCATGAAAAAGCTTTAAAATAGTTAAAAGAAGACTTTGGAAATTGCGTAATTATTTCCTATCATCTCTTTTTCTGAAAAAGAAACAACATGTGTGCAGACTGCAATTCGAGTTATTGCAGGAGCCTTTCATCATGCGTTTTCATTGTATTTCATATTAATAAGAGCGAAGCTAGACTGCCTGTGAACGAATTTGATACTTGGGGTTTTTGTTATTGGGCGTTCCTAATTCCGAAGATTCCGCCCTCGACCTCTCGACCTTGACGACGAACTGAATTTTCATTTCGCCGTCCAGCATTCATTGGAAACTCGATATTTTAAAATTGTGGTTGTTTGCTTAATGATACGCTTGAGTGTTTGCCATGTGGCTACATCCGGTATTATGTTGGTAAGATAGTTGAGTCTCATTTTGATCTCGTTGCAATACAGCTAAGTCAGGTACTTTCCAAAATGTTTCCTGTTCCTCCTGACGAATAAACTTCGCCATAGGTTTGGATCTGCTTCATTTCTAATGTGCTTCTACTATTTCCTATAGTTTATTTAGGTCAACGGAGAACTAGTTGGTATTGTTCTCCTGTCGTCCAGAACAGAGATTATTTTAGATCTCGCGAGCTCATTAAGACTAAGCGGTACCTTCCGTATTCCGTCCACATGCCAGTGTTCCTCAAGGAATGCCATTCCTGAACACTCTCTGTATGTCCCTGTTGAGTATCAATCGTGGCGCATACGTTAACTTCATCACACAAGATTGGTATGGCTGCAAGTTTAGTTTTGAACATTAGAATGCAAGAAATTTCTGACATTTCATTGTTTTTCGCGCCTGAAATATATTGATGTTTCAACCCTCGCGAAACTTTGAGGTCCACCTTCTGCATGCGGAAAGACTCCACATGGTACCACCGTCAAATTCATTCAAATCACATCAGGAAGGGATGAGGTACAAGAAGCGAAAATGGCACCACAATACGCACGGTGGTTATTGTCAAACCACCAGTGGCACGATGTAGTCAGCGACAGCCACTGCTCCGATAATACCTAGTAAAGCCGTGACTGTTTTTGTTATAGCCAGAATGTCGCTATGAAGATTTCATGGTTGGATTATTCGCGGACAGTGAATGAACAACGAAAACTACAGCGTAGCTTTTCGCCTTGATACCTTCAAATTCCTATAAATTGCATAGTTGCACAACTATCAATAACGTGTTACGGGCAGTAGTTCAGATTTTTTGAAGACCTCATAGCTCGTTTATCTATAGTCGTGTAAGAACGACTATGTAATTTCGGCTCATTTTTCGACATCTTCCTCTTTAACAGAGCCGATGATCCTATTACATTATCTGGAGTCGTTCTCGACATGGTGTCTTCGACTTCGCACGAAATCGAATCTTCTTCCGCGGAGCACCGCTCGAATGTGTGAACCTCCATTCGACAGCTTATATAGGTCGATCGCTAATGCCGAAGTTAAATGACGATCGGTTTGAAAAATATTGACTGTATAATGCAACCACAATTATTCTGAGATATATGCAAAACTTCAGACCGCAAATGTCTGCGATGGGGATCGATCTCGCTTTTACCCTTTCCGAGGGCTAATGCGTTCACCACCATACCGTGCGGTTCCTTCGTTTCCCCTGTCTCTCAGTAAGTTATATTGATCGCTGCCATCAGCAATCACCCATCAGCAGAATTCATTGAAGTTATATTTCGCCTTTCTCTCCGCTAGTTTACTACCTAAAAATGTCATCAGCGATCACCCGTGAACGGGATTGAAAAACTAGTAGCTAGGAGAAGCTAGTAGCTGAGAGAAAGGCGAAGCGAAAGACTCGCATGGTGTAGTGGTGAACGCTTTACCTCCTGGAAAGGGTAGTAGCGAGTTCGATCCCCACCGTCGACACCTGCGGTCCGGAGTTTTGCAAATATCTCAGCATCATTGTGGTTGTATTTCACGTAGTACCCTGTCATCAAAAGCTGCAGTTGGCAGTAAATAAAAGGTTAACATTGACCACATAATTGTTTCTAGTTATTATAAAACAGTTGAAACATAAGAGTTTAAATTATAGAAACCTAGGCGTTATCGCTCATTTCAAGAACTTTTTACTCCACAGATAATCAAAAGTTCTCCAATATTCAAAATTCATGCGACAAAATGAAAGAAAACTGGAAAATTGTCTTGTTGAGGCACGGTGTTGCGCAGGGGTTAGAGGTGACATGCAATATACTCGAGGTCGTTGGTGCCATCTCGCACCCGTTTTCACTAAGTCTTCCATCTCTCCGATTTCGACCAAGTGATACCAGACTTGTTTGGGAGTATACCAACACTGACTTGATACATCCGTAGGCCACCGCGACTCATTGTACAGGTCAGGTATACTTTCAATCACCTCTAACAATGCTTGATGAAGTAATATGCATGCCGCTTCCCTCAAGAACCGATCGAGGCTGAACGTCCTATCCTTCATTTATTGAAACCTATAAATGCTTTATTCTGTTTTGCTAGCCGTACTCAGCCTGGATTCGTGTTTTATCTCAGTCGACATTTGGCATGGTGTTGGTTATGCGGTGGATTCCCTGAGAAACAACCCACAAGAGCACGCGATGATTTTCGCAATAGTTAACGGGACACTTAGGAACAGATGACGCTGCTAACCGTGGAAACAGTTACAGCCATTCATTGCGTACTGGGATCATCTGCGTTGGGAAATTCTATGAAGAAACATATGATTATTCCTTCCTAGCCATAGATTCTAATCTGAAAAATCCTGATGGAGTCAAATTAACCTGTGGTTCATCGATGTTTATTTCTTGAGACACTAAATTTCGGAGACAGGACATTCATCAGTGAGAAAAATACTATTAAAATTAAATTTCTACTTTGCCTGCCGGTTCGTGGTTTCAGAAAACGCTACTTGTCTGGCATGCATTTGTACGTGTCATGCAAATCGTGAATGTCGTGTGAAAATCTTCTATACGACTGAGATAGTGCATGCTTCCGTTACACAGCAATGGTCTGGAAGAATTGTTGTCTCAAACAAATGAGCTCTAAAAAAAGCTCTCGGCGTTGATAAATCCCTGAGGGATGCGCCATGCATTCGACTTCATTGAGCATCGCTTGGAGGTGCAGGGATGCACATCAGGCCTTTACAATGACCCGCGGTGAACTGCCGATGTATCGAGCCAGTGCTGCTATCCTTCCAGACGAGTCTAGTACCAATTTGCCGACCTCGAATCCTAACAAATAAGCAATTAGAGTATATTGAACAAGTTAGTTAGCTGTTTCTGTTAGCTACTCGAAAGTGTCCATGCTGAACGCTGTCTTTTACTAAGCGGTTCTCTCAATCTTATCCACATTCGTGAAGCGCCTAGGTGACGCTACACGTGCTGCCCTCAATCAGTGTGCCATCACTTACTGTAATTTGTTCTCCTTCACCTCTAGAACTTCGGGTTTTCTTTTGAGTGAAGCGTAGTCCCATAGGACTTCATTCGTTGCCGTCGGCCTGCTCTTCCTTTACCAAAAGCTTCGGGAAGCGCTACAATCGTTTCATTGCTTGATGAATGCGGTAAAATTCACGTGCGTATCGAATATGAGCGTAACCAGGTAAGAAAAAGCACTCGCAGACTTTCCATGAGGTATTGTTTCTTGGAAAATGACCCATGTTTAAATGTGAACTTTAAAACGTTGACGTAAGAAGGACTGTTGCTTTATTCCAAGCACTGCAAAACAAAAAAAAGTTAAAAAATCCCACTTGTTTCATACGACTAGGTTTTGACCTCTAAAACACCAAGGTCTCTGCTGCGTTATGAATTGACTGCGCATTCAATTAAGCATTGCAGTGTTGTAGTGAACCATAACTTTCCTAACGGTTTACCGCCTCATCGTGGCTGGGAGGTGTACCTGAGTGTCGGACTCCAATGTGCAGCGGGGGATTCAGCCCCTGGCAGGGTCTCCCAAGCTGAGAAGGAGTCCGACGTTTCCATCAGGAACCCTAGCTAAGGGTAAACCAATACCAGGATCCACCACCGTCCTGGTATCAAAATCGCATGGTGGCAAACCTCCCTTTGATACAGAACGGCTGTAACTGCCTGTAGTGGTGAAGACCTGGGGCAGACTTTAGCCAGGGCGACCTCGGAATTCTACGGAACCATAACGACTTAACCTGCAAATCTCCGAAAAATGGAGATTATACTGGAGCCCGCACAACCAGTGAGGAGGGGTCATTCAAGTGCCAAATATCAAGTATTGTTAACCATCAATCTATCATCAGGGAATAAGCGCGCTACAAATTGGAGGAATGTTGCGTTTCTGATACAAATGTTCGAAAGAGAAACGAAGAACGTCACATTAAGAAGACGAGAGTAACATTGAAAACGGGATAAAACAATGGAGTAGAAACAGCTTTCAAAATAAGGGTGAAGTCACATAGACATAAAGTGGAACTTCCTTGGGTGTACCTAAACATAATGCTTATTAATGATAAGACTCTAATTCAACCATCTGACTCAGCTCATAGTCCTGTTTCTGTGCTGGCGCGTATTATCCGCCGTCATCCTACCCCAAAGTAGAACACATCGTTGTTAAGGCATTGTGGGTTCACCAGTGAGCAATTGCGAGAGCTGCATCTGTGTCGCGAAGGGAGTTGCCTCCGCGTGCGAGTGAGGAATGGGTCGTCGCGGGCCACGCCCAGGTCGCCAATGCTAGCAATGCTGTGGCGACTGATGGTGGCGGTGGTGGTGATATCGTCGGTGACCTTCCTGTTCTCGCTGGCTCAACTACCAGTGTGCACGCGGGTTCAGGCCTGTTCCGCTCGTGTCGACGTGTTTCCGTTGGCTGATGACGACTCATCTGGGTGGGGATCCGGCGATGTTCCACTCTATGATGAGGCGTTCAACCTCGTCTCCTTCGACTATTCGCAAACGCCGGAGACAAGCACCTATCAGTTGTGCGAATGTATAAATAACAAGACCTGTGATAGTGAGAAAGAACAGAGGTATGATATTAAGTTGTGGAGAGCTGTTTTCGCTTTTTGTGCAGAACATTGAATGAATAATAAGGAAGGCTTCCGTTTGTTTAGGATTATCCAACTAGATGAGAGTGTCAAGCTAACATTTTGTGAAGACGTCGAGCTTCAAATTCCTCTGAAATGCAAAGGTTCGCGTGGGTTGCCACGAGTGATCGGTATCGCTCATCCTTCAGGTTAGCTGACAATTGCCAGTACTTTTCAGCAGACTCGCGTCCCCAAGTTCTTATATTTCGCTTAAGCATCACCGTAGAGAAACTGAAGGTCAAAGCTCAAACATTTGAAGCTACTTCCATTCCTTACCGTTTCTCTGCCTATTCCAATATTCACATAGATTGCTTTCTTTGCTCTTTTGGGTTTGGCGAGCGATTGGAAATTCCAAAAAGTACTCGTAGCATGCTACAACAGACATCGGTGATAGTTCTTTTGCTCATGTGTCAAATTTTGGTCTCACAAATAGTCCATGCATTCTTGCGGACCACAAATCTTGGCATTTTATCTTTGCAATGGAAAGCAATAGAAGAGAGAGGAAGCGAAAGAGTATTGTTTTGTATGGGTGCTTCGCTCAACATTTCAATGTAATTCATCCATTGATCATCCAGTTAGCGGCAGGAATAAATAAGTGTCCGCCCTATCCTGAACCGACTGCGCCACTGACTCATCCGGATTTGTAATCCCGCCATTCCTTTTCCTACTAGCAACTTGTTCTCTGTTTATCTTTGTTGTGTTATTCGCGTCGCCGACAAGTCAGCAGAGCTCTGGTGCTGTACTGTCGCCTATAGAAGTGGTGCAGTATTTCCTTTCTATTAGGAGTATTCTATTAAGAGAAAAGTTCGAGCTAACTTTACGTTGAGCATTAGAATAGAAGAAGGTCTCACAGTTCTCAACCAACATCTCGGACAATATCGCATATCGCAACAAATGTTTTATCACTCATCAAGCACAGTTTCTTGTTCCGTCACAAAGCGATTTCCTCTCGTTAGTCTTCTTTTTGCTTTCATCATATTCCGGTGTTTTTCAATTTGTTCAGCTCTTCTTTTCTTTCACCTCGGTATTCACTGCTTCCCACGAGAAACTGAAACTCTGTGACGAGAATAAGGTTCGCATTCAAAACGTTAAGGTTTCCGATGCGCGTTACATCATCAGATTGTGACATTGGTGTTGATTAATTAGGAACTGACAACTAGGAGACAGCTGCTGCCAACTTGCATCCGCTGATGCTTCTTCACCTCCTTATCGATTGATTCCAACGGCATGCCAAGCACTGCATTTTCCACATATTCTTTCGTAGCGTTAGACTGATCATCCGTCTACAAAAATGAGGCTCGCCACTGGATATTCGAGGCATGAAACTAGCACTTTGATGCTAGCAGTCGAAAACGCTCTCGGATTCAACAAGGAAGTTACAGCTAGTCGGTCTGAGGACTTTGGTATTTATAGCCGTACTAATTCAAGCTCTGAGGAAGCAAAAAACAATATCTGAGCACTTTGTATCACATGTAGTGGAGCTTTTCTTTGTCTAGCCAAACTCACCTTCATTGATATCTGTTGTCTCCATTGCTTTTAGCCTCTGTGCCCTTATATTTAACTTGATCCTTTGTCATTCTACATTTCGTTTTCGTATTATAAATCTTAGCTTAATATTCAAGATTTCGAAAATTTGCAAGTTAGCGTTAAACTCTTCCTTTGGGGTTTTATTAGGTCACAATAAATATTTCAGTGTTATGATTTCTTGGTTTCTGTATGAACTCAGTCGACTCCAGGGCACCTGATTTTCGACAAGCTCGTCGATTTCGGTGTCTTCATAGGTTTTGGTAGAAAACTGTGAAGTGATTAGGAAGGCTAGCGGCGAGCTCATGGTCAAGCGCTTTGGCTCTTTCCAAGTGCTTACCCCTAAGAGTCTATGGTGAACTTCGTGAGGGAGATTCTTGTTTGGGAACGCCGATGCGCTCTCGAATCAGCGAAGCTGGTGAAGGATTCATTCACACCGCTCAAGGATATATGACATGGCAGTTTCAGTTTTTCATTTGAGCTATGGTTCCGCAGGTGTTCTTGTTAATTGGCGTCCACATCTTGATTCTGAAAACTTGTGTCGGTTTCTTACAATTTTTCGTTTAGAAAACTAATATCGTTTATTTTATAACAATTTTAGAATTCTGCAGCAAATCACTCCAGTTTCTTCATTTACTACATCAAACATTACTAATTTATGACCCTTTTCTTTTAGAACTTCATATGGGCTGAAACATTGTGCCATGGTAGCAGAATTGGCTAAAAAATGGAGAGCTGTAGATGATCTAAGGAGGTGGCATCCTCACCATATTTCAATAAACATTGCCACTTTGCTTACTCCTTTTAGGTGAGACAATATCGGTGGTGAGCTCAACGGCTGTGTTCTGCACATGTCCGTTCGGCTACGAGCGGCTTCGACCGGAATACTGGAGTGGATCGGAGATCTCGATCAGCTACAAGTGTAAACGAACGAGTGGACCAAGCGTTCCCCAGACGTGACGTCCCACTCTGCTTTGGTGGAAAGCGAATGCCGTGTCCTTGGTGCTGCGCGAAAACAGAGCTCTCTTGCGAATCAGGTTACAACCACCACTGGCACTGATTCGTACTCTGTTTTTTTGAAGAATCACTTCTCGTCTCCCTCTTAGATCTGTTTGTTTTCAAGCACTTCCGTTAATATCTGTTGTTGTTTGATATATGAGCAGTCAAGTGTTGTTTTCTCAAACTGCAAATATCTAAAGCTTCTGACGACAGCATTTCTTCACCAAGTTTACACCAAGTAATGGTTTCTCTTGTCATTGCGAATGAGCTGACGGCTGACTCACCTAGTCAGCTGATTAGCATTGGCTTTGTTTGCATGAAAAACTGGTGCTGTTTAAATTAAGAATTCAGCCAGGGTTGTTATCTGTAATGTCGTGAACTTCTTCAGTGCTGTAAACTTCACTTTACAATCGTTTGCTTCGACTTCTGTGTTTCAGGTTGACTTCACGTGCGCTTATAATGAATGTGTCCAGATTTTAATCAAACATGGTTAAATAAAATCTGTTGTACATATCGAAGACCTGGCTACCTGTGGAATGGATTTGGCCATATGCTAGCGTCTTTCTCTTGTGCAGTTCTGACTGGAGGATAGATTGGGCCTGTAATTAGTAGGATTATCTTTACAGCCTCACATCAGGAGAAACGAGTCGGGTCAGACGTGTAATTAATGGCTTTGATGGCAGAATGGTGTGATTAATCGCTTTTGTAATCGCAGTGCTATCGATGTACTTATTGTTAAGGATATTCTTTCTGACTCTTCAATTGTTGAAAACCACAATTCTCAATCAGATGGGGCTTATTGCTTCTTTGACTACGGGTTGATGGCGATTCAATGTCTGAGAAATCCAATCACATCTTGACACAGTGTTCTGTCCCTCGAATCAACGAGAACAGTGTGTCCCTGGACAATCGACGGGATGTATTTCGAATACTGCTCCTCACCATCTTTTTTTGGGTGTTATTCATTGCGACCGACTATTAAAGAGAGAAGGATAAAGCTCTCGGCGTTGATAAATTCCTTAGAGATACGTCATGCATTTGACTTCATTAAAAATCGTTGGAGGTAACTGAATACATATTTGGCCTTTACAATGACTCACGGTGGCCTACCGATGTATCGAGCCAGTGAGCTATCCTTCCAGGCAAGCCTGGTATCAATTTACCAACCCCGGAGGGATAGAAGGGTTGGTGGGCCACGGACGCCAGGATCGATTCCATGTGTATGTCGCAGGGGGCCTCCGACCAGTGTACCACACACGACCAACCACTAAACTCATAAAACTTCGTGTTATTTCAAGATTCTAAGGTTGACTGATAACTCTGATTAAAGAAGGCATTCAATGTTACGGAACGAGAAGGAAGAACAAGGAAAACTAGAATATGTATTTAATAAAAACAGCTCTAAATCAGAAAAGTTCTTGTTCTTATCGGATGTATTTAACACGACTGTTAAATTAAATTTGATCCCTTTCATACTAGTGCCAAAGTGAATGGAGTGAATCTAGTTCCCTGAATTTCACGAAGGACTCAGCTTGATCACCGAGCGGTCCTTTTCTAACTACAAGGTTCGTCCTGGCATGGAAACATACGAGTCATAAGGCAGCAACTCCATCCTCCCCTTTCCGATGGCTTCCAGTCTATTTTGTTAGGACTAGGACGTCCTGTGGTAGTGGTAAAGGAAGTAACACGGCTGTCTTAGAATTTCAAGCAAAATCATAATCGAGTTGGATTCAACAAGTCAGTGAGCCTATAAAACCTCTAGTTACAGCCGAATCCGTCTGTCTTCATAAATGAAGGCTGCAAGTCAAGAAAACGAATCACGGAGGTGCTGAGAGCGCTGCACGGCTTGCAACAACTGCAATTTGCAAAGAAGGAGTTGCTATTTAAAACTATAGAGATAATCCATTTAAAGAAGCATAAGAGGAAGATAACTTTAAATCGTCTTTAAGAAAACAAATGTTAAGATGGTGTGATTTTATTGGAAAACCTCCAAGCATTCTCGGTACAAGTGCAAGCTGACTTGTGACCTCTAGTCTGTTAACTTTGGAATAGTTCGTTATTAGATAACCTCGTGGCCTGATCACATGCGGCGGGAATCTTGCTCGTATATCACGGCAATCTCTTCCGACGCACAGTTGTCAGTACGCTATCGAAAAGAAGCAATATTGAGAAAAAACTCGTCTGGAATGTTAAATTAGCCCGTGCCTCCTTAGAACATAGGAACCCGCGTCAGCTCTGCACGGACACCAAGACCAAGCTGAAGATCATCAAGCTTCCAATAATAGCATGAAAAACAAAAGCTTAAATGTTGACTAAAGTGTTCTTCGAGATTGTGGATGCTTTTTTTCAAAAAGGAACTTAATGTGATCCTTTTTTGGAGGGCAGCTACATAATCACCGATATTATGTATTAAGTGCTCAACTCTCTGGAAGCTTATGAGTGCAAAATGGATGGAAACAAAGGCCGTCGTTCTTAGTTGTATTCTCTTGGAGACTACGTAATTCACCATTGTTGAAGAGGAAAGGAAATTGTTGCAGTCAACTCTCATGAAACCATACCGCGTCGCTTGGCTGCCGAAAGTTGAATATCGTCAATCGCATTCAAAAATCACTGTTACAGTTGTTATGTGCACGTCTTCGAAGATAACACTATAAAAGTTCATGGAAAAATTATAACATATTTTTAGCCAGAATGCTCTCGCACTGGGTTCAGTGTTCGCTGCCGATTCAGATGTGAATTTCCAAGCGAGTATACGCTGAATAAAACTCTTATAGCGCTATGTGCTTATAAAGCATGGTCATGGTCAAGCGTCTACAACTCTACAACTACAAAAAGTTCCTCACTGTTTGTCGAAGTGGTTTTTTTTTCTTGCTGTTTGAATATATCACTTTGCTCGTCTTGATGAAGGTTGTCCTTGAACACTCATGGACTTTCTTGGGTAATATTAGACTTGTGCGTGGTAGCCTATTGATGTATGGAGTCACCACTGCTATCCTCCCAGGGAGGTGGGTACCAATTTGACGACCCCGAAGTGGTGGAAGACTTGGTGAGCCGGAGGTCCTGGATCGAACCTATGTGTTTTGCAGGGCATCTCTAACGACAGCGTTACACGAGCCCTATTATGTGAATATATCTTAAAAGCCTACTTTCTTTAAATCTTGGTAACAATAATCAATATTTTTCTATATGGTTGAGCTAACACGAGGTTGGAGATGAATGCATGGCGCATCATCTGATCATGATCAATGCATGTCGATTTATTCTTTTTTCTTCCGCGACCTTTCATCTTGATACCACCCATCCATCCATCCATCCATCCATCCATCGTAACGAGTTCTTTCTTAGCTTTTACGGAAGTGGTCTTTTTTTCTGTTTTTGTCAGGACATAATATTAGTCTTCAAATATTTTTCCCTTTTTCCTGAAGGAACATATTTGTGCATCGACGTAGATTCGTCACACTCAGCATTTCCACACTCATATCTCTCACCACTTGGTTTCTGCTTGCCGTATTTCTGCTGTGGTACCACACTCTATAGGGTTATTAATCAGTTCCCTTCCCTCATTAGTGATGTTAAGGAAACAGTGAAGATCAGATTGAACAATGAAGGTTCTTTGATGATAAAATTTAGAAGTCTGTTATCGATGTATAATTAGACTACTGTCCATCGTTTCTCCTAAGATTAATATTTTTACACCTTGCCTTCTTTCATGCGTGGTATTTACTTAATTAATTAAATATTAGACATTAACTGCTCACTGTTAACGTTGCCGCCTCGTGGCTGCAATTTTGGGTGCATGGAGGTTCGTGGGTACCAAGAACGATATTCGATGCTCTACCGTTCTTAAATGTCGTCTTTATATTTGTTAACAAATATCTACCTCTCAGGGATTAGGAGATCTATCTCTTTTTTACCTTTCTTTTGCTAATCGATCGTCATTGATTTCACTAACATCTGATTTTTTCAGGACGTTTTATGAAGTCCAAGAATTTCTATAACGAAGCCTTCGATGAGAACGACGCCCCCCTCGCCGAAGTTTTTGATTGTTGGGATCAGAAAAAAAAATTCGATTTCACAGATTGGTTGTTAACATCTATACACGATTTCTTTACTATGTGTTCTTCAGTATCGTTTCTCATTCCTCTTTTTCCCACTTTCTAGTAGGACCACTCCAACCCTTAGAATTCACCAGTTTTTGTCGTCGCAAATCGCAATTTTTTTTATCATAAACTGCCGAATCTGGCCTGCCATTTACACTTTATTATCACTTTAGCAAATACTTCAAGAGACCAGTGTATTGCTACAATTGGAACAGACATATTTTGCTTCTTCCTCAATTGACGAAAAATGACCTGATGGAATGCAAACAGCTTCGCGTCTTTTCAGGATCGACCTGAAGTATTTCCTACTACTATTTGCCTTATCGATTTTATTCCCAATCAAAACTACATGCGTATACATACAATCATAATAATGCTGAGATATTCGAAAGACTCCGGACCGCAGGTGTCTGCGCTGGGGATCAAACATGCAACTGACCTCTTCGGTGACTAACGCCTTCATTACCACACCAAACGGGTCCTTCGTTTCGTCTCTCTCGCAGCTGGATTTCTATCTACCAGCATCATCAGCAATCACTTGTCAACAGAATTGACCCAGGGAGCAAAATTCGGCATTGAACCCAGTTAAGCTGAGGCTGTAGTCGAAATCACAATGTTAGCTTTTTACTTGCTGCCTACTACAATTTTTCACGGTAGGGTATTCTTTGTGAAATAACTCTTAATGATGCTGAGATGTTTGCAAAACTCTGGACCGCAGGTGTCTATAAAGTTCCCCAAATCATAACTGCTACATGAAGTGAACTTGCCCAAATAAGAATAGCAGTCGAAATAAAGTTAGGAGGATAATATGACTGAGATGTTTACTTTGAGAATTTAGCAATTCATTCTTCCGCATTTCGA